AAATTATGTGGGCCAATTTCTTCCTTCCCCAAGTTATTACCCCAATAAATGGAATACAGCAATGAACTTGAGGATTCTGTTGTTTATAAAAAGGAGTATAGAATTTGAGTTTTTTTTTTTATTTAATTAAAAAGAAAAGGATGACCTACCTACATCTTTGGATTTCCATTCACTGCAGATTATTCTATTGTGAAATAGAATTATTTGATGTACTTTCCTTTAAAACAAACTTTTTGAATTTTGTAAATATCAGTAAAAAAAAAAAGCAGAAAGCTTATACTTTTTGCAAATTATTTGCTTTTGATATAAAGTTTGTTGCTTTTAGTTAAAACAAAAATCACCCCTGTTTCAAAAATAAATGACAAAGTGTATCGCCATTCTTTGTGATGATGAGCTGAGGTGATCTGGACAAGTATCTTGTTCTGCACCTTCAGTGATCTTCTACAGCAGTTATCCAGCTATCATAGCTTGTGAAACTGTCAGTCTTAGGGTCAGAACCAGTAAACAGGTTGTTGGAACCTGTCTAATGAGATTTTTACTGAACTGAATATTCAGTCTATTGAAGCTGCAAATATACATTATATTAGAATTCTTTTACTGATCAGTTTAATACTATTTTTAAAAATAAGGAGATTTGTTATGATTACAAACTATCCACCAGACTCTAAACAGTTTTTTAAAATTTTAATTCAAACAGTAAAAAGGAAATGCTTAGAAAAAAAAATGTGTTTTTTTGCAGAGGTACATAAATTTGATATATTATTCAGGAATAAAGTCTGATACAGAAATTTTAGGCCTATTTTGCATTATAATTATGCCTAGAAATTTTTATTCAAATCTATTCAAGGTAAGTTTTGAGCTTTTTGTAGTCCTTTTATAACATGATTTTCATTTTCAGCATGTTTTGTCATTAAAAAAGATAACACAAAAAAGAAAAGCGCTATCAGAACAGGAATGAAAGTTTCTAGGTTAAAAGTATAAAAGCTTGATAATCTCATAATTAAAAAAAAAGTGGAATTATACTTGAAAAGACTGAAAATCTATTTCATCAATAATTTCTCTTTCGGCTTGAGTGATGAAAAAAGTAAGAAGATAACAGGAAACAATAAAAAAAATTAAAGGAAAAAGGGAATACAATACAACTACCGACCAGAAAGACTAAAAGTTAAGTTCACAAAACAATATACTTAAAAATAAGATTAACAAAAACACAACACCTCCCTAAATTTTGATTTTACTTGAAAAAAATGGGCAGGTTGTGGCTGGATGAGATAGTTTGACACTAGAAAACTTTGGAGGGACATCATCTTTGTGTGAAATTTGCATGCAAGTCATTTACAAACAAAACATTTCACTTGTCCACAGTGAATTATTGAAACTTCAAAGATCTCTGTGATATTGCAAATAACCATATTCAAGTACTACAATAAGGATCAACAACTTTAAATGTATTTGAAAATATTGATTTTACAAATTCTTATAAGAAAGGAGATCTTGTCTATTTCTTCATGGTTTAGTCCCATCATAACACAATATTTTTTTAATATCTAGCATAAGTTAGAGGGAGATAACTCTTGTTTTTTTTTAAACTGTGAAAATTTAAATCCAAATCTATTTTAAGAAATGACATTTGTTTACTGCTATATTATATTTCAAATCAATACATTGGTTAATGGGAAAGTACCATTTAAGTACGCAACATTAAATACTTAAAAAACATGGTGGACCTACAGCTTGAAACAGATTAAAGATATAATAAAGAGTGACAATAAGCAATAATGGATAAGAATATGGCACTCAAAAATTGGGACAGCCTAGATAACTGGCAAAAATTTGATATGCTTGGGTTGATTATGGGAATAACAACTACTGTAAGTTTTGTAAAATATTGTTTTAAAATGTAAATTGATGATTTTAAACTTCTTAATATATTCATATTTTGCCTTCGTAATAAAATAGCTTTATCTCTGAAGCATACAAGTAATGTCACACAGAGAAGCTATCCTATTTTATTACTTTCGTGCCTCCTATCTGCTAGCTTCAACCAAGATGTTGTTGGTTGAAGGAACATTTTTATTCATAAAAACTAATTAGATACCAAATTATTAATATTTGCATGATCCGATAATAACTAAATTACAATTGGTCACCATTAGATAGATATTTGACAGTAATGACAATTTTCAAAAAGTTTTAAAATATTTTTGAAAGTTTATTATCTGATAAAAAATCTACATTTCTCTAACCAATTGCACTGTTTGTTCCTTATTCTTGATGTCCTTTTAATGAAATACTATACAGGATCATATAGTTATGTTCTGAAATGTTTACATGGCCACATCTTTTAGATAAAAAATTCTAAAATGTTTGAGGATTTTTTAATTTTTGAGATATTTCAGTATGAATTATTGCACTCGGAAGAAAAAGCAAACTAGACAACGTTTGGAGTGGAACAGGTAAAAAGTCTCGGTCCATTGACCAAAAATGTAGCTCCAAAAGGTTGGGCCCTAGCACTCTAGCCCCTCTTCCCTAAATCCGCCTCTGTGAGCATCTGGATGGGTTTACAGAATAGAGAATAATGGGCAAAACATGCAGAAACATGCAGAATAAAGGGCAAAAGATATGAAAAAATTGAGAAAATAAGTAAAAGAAATAAAGAATAAAGAAAGATGGTTTTTATCCATTTTTTTTCATTTGGTTGCTGAAATCATTATATTTATAATAGATAGAAATTGTTAATAGCAAAGATCTACAATAAGATCTACAAATAAGTCAACATGGTCGGATAATTGAATAAAGATAAAAAAAAAAAAAAAAAAAGATAACATGGCCGGCCTGAAATTGTCAATTGACTCCTTTCAGAAGATATTGCCCTTAAAAGATGATTTTTTTTTTCCATTTTTGTTTTTTTTTAACAAACTTTATTAGATAGTCCAAAACTTTAAAAAAGCAAAGCTGTTCAGCACAACAAATCCTACTAGTAAGTCTACATGGCCAATATGTCACTCTAGTTATAGGATTTATTGCCATTAAATGAGAGTTTTTTTTTTTTAACTCAAAAACTTCAATAGGTAAAACAGTAAAACAGTTAAATGATTATCAGTACAAGATCTACAAAAATGACACTAAATAAAATCTACAAATAAGTTAGCATAACTGAATGAATTTATGAGAAAAAATAGCATTTTTTTTACCAGGTAAGCAATTCAGGCTCTATGGGGCCTCTTGTTTATTTTCTTTATTAGCATTACAACTAAGGATCATAAAGTAAGTAAGTAGTTTTTATTGAAATAAAGTCCAAAACATTGAACTATCATCAATTACAAGATGAACACATACATTTGTTTATAAAATGGACCGAATTATAAAAACAACAATACATTGAACAGCACAATTATAATCACTGATACAACTGCCGAGGTTGATTGGAATTAAGTCTCAGTTATTACAAAGAATTCACAGTTTATCTCCCTTATAACACAATAATGAAAATATACTTTAATTTAGAAGTTTTTTTTTTATATACAAAAATGAGTGATTAAATGATACAAGTATAGATTAATAATGCACTATGAATAACCATATGTAATGCCTAAAGTTAATTGGATAAGTAATTCTTATATTATTAAAATTTAAATCTAGAAACTTAAGAGCTTCCTTCTCTTTGTTGACAAGTATTATTATTTCACAATGCATAATATTTAAAATACATTTCTTGTTACCTGTATAAGTCCTATTGAGGATCTGGATGGGGGAAAGGGGTACTCCTTTCTTTATTTTCTAATTTTTAGACCACTCTTCTCAATTCCTTACATTTTAGCTCCCTCCCAATTATTCTGTAATCTTTTAATTATTTTTTGCCTAGTTTTATCTATTCTTTATTTAGTGCCTTTTATTCTGCACTTTTAGCCCATTATTCTCTATTCTGTAAACCCCATCCAGACATCTCCTTATTCTCCTCTTGTTTACTAAATATAAAAATAAGAAGGTGTGGTATGGTTGCCAATGAGACAACTCTCCAACAGAGACCAAATGACATAGAAATTATTATCTATCAGTCACCATATGACCTTCAACAATGAACAAAATCCATACTGCATAGTAAGCTATAAAAGGCCCAGAAATGACAAATGTAAAACAATTCAAAAGAGAAATGGTTGACTTTCCCTGATAGTGGGATAGAAGATGGAAAACGATCGATAATATTGCAATTATAACTTGTATATTCATTAGAAATAATGTAATGTGTGATCTGTTTATAAAATATGCAACAACAATTAAAAAATTTAAATATGTACTTAGCTGTGCCTTTTGGTTGATGAATACCCACATCTTCTTTTATTCATATATACCAAAAACAAGAGAGTAAATTAGGTAAAAATTAATAGATATATCTGTCAGGTTCGGATTCCAATGGCGAAGGTTGGTTGTATGTTAATCATCAATTGAAAATTGTACCATTTTATAAGAAATAGATTAAACCAGCAAAAATACTTACTTTTAAACATTCTCATTAAACTATCCTTTACAGGCCAGAGGACAAAACAGAACTTTAGTGACCTATATATATTCCTTTTACAAAATGAAAATAAAAAAAAAAAAAAAATATTTATAAAACAATTTTTATTTGTAATATTCAAATTGTAAAAAATGTCACATGGTTAGGAGACGACCATTTTATATTCTTTGGGGAAATTTTCATGTATCATATCTGATCAATCAAATTTAGCTTGTAACCGTGGATGATTTTCTGTTATGACTTTTTTGACTGCCAGTCTGCAGTTGTATGGTAGTTGATGCATTCATAGCACATGTACAAGTTTACACTGTTGGCCCAACTCGTATCAAACTTTTTGGGGTCAATTGTATTCTGGTTTACTAATTCTTCTATTTGTTGATTTATTCCAAAATGGCATATGAGTTTAGAAAACCAGAGTCTACTGCTGTCATCTGTTATTAAGATATGGAATGATTTTATTTTATGACATGATATTTTTCAGGCCACTTTCCCTCCAAGTACCAGTATTCCTAAGTTCAGAGAGGACTTTGCAAAGGCCAAACACATAGTGGTTGTAACAGGAGCAGGAGTGAGTGCAGAGAGTGGTGTACCTACATTTAGGGGGCCTGGTGGTTATTGGAGGAATAAGAAAGTACAGGTATCTACATATACACTAGTTAGCTTAAAGGACAACTATTTTATTTTTGAGAGGGGGAAGAGTCCTCAGGGTTTGTGGATGGACTATTCAATTTCACCTTTTGCAAGTGGCATCTTATTTAGTTTCTGTCTGGTGCAAAATTATTCATGGTAGTACCAGGTCAGAATATCCATTTAGAAAATCCACCTGTAATACTAAACTGTTTTTTTTTTGGTTTTTTTTTATTGCTTTTGTTTTGTTTTTGGGACTTTTTTTTTTCTTGCTCCCCCTGGAAAAAATCTTTTTCAGGAGCATAATATAGTAATTGTTTTGTATAATCCATCCATCTTTTCATCCTTCCATCCGTTCATGTGTCTTAAGTATGAAAAATTGATTATCCCTTGCTTAATTGGACTGAAACAGAGTGTACAGATGAAAGATATAAGGGAGGGAAAGAAACCTATTGATTTTTTTCTTCAAAAGGTTTAGGTAAAGGCCACTGTCACTATAAAAAGAAACACAAAATAAACAATGGTTTCTGGATGGTAAATGGAGTTTTCCATGATTGATTTAAATGAAACTTAACCAGATGAAAGATACAGGAGGAGAAGAAGTCTATTGATTTGAGCAAAAGGTCACTAATTGTTACTTAAACTAGAAAATAAATAACAATGGTTTCCTTTTCTATAAATAAACAGGTGGCCAAGCAGTTAAAAAAAACCAAGAAAGACTTCCAAAAGGTGAATTATGTATATAAACCACCAGAAAAAATCATTCTGTCCCCCCTTTAATATACCAAATGGTTGTCTTTTAAATGTCTTAAGGGAGCTACCATTTGATTTTTAGGGGGGGAGGCTAGGATGAAATTTTCGTCCTGCTTTTTTTTTTAGTTGTAATCTCTGTCCTGCCTTTTTATTTTTCACTCTATTCGGTCCTGCCCATTTATTTATTAGTTTATCCTGAATCTTTTTACATAAATTGTCATCCTGCCATTTTTTTTTTGCCAAGTTGCTCATCCTGCCTATTTTTTTTTTACTCAAAACTCCTGTCCTGCCTTTTTTTCAAATTTCATCCTAGCCCTCCTCCCCTTAAAATCAAAGGGTAGCTCCCTTAGTATACCAAATGGTTGTCATTTAAATGTCTTAAGGTCTATAGCTGCTGGTATACTTGGTGATATCTTGCATTTTTGTTGGTATTCAGAATGTACGATAAAGAGTAACAGAATTAAGGGATTATGCTTTACTCACATTTTACATAATTGCTTGGAGTTAGCGTATTTTGGTTGTACCAGCACATCTACTTTTGTGATGAAATGAAAAAAATATTGACCAATCTAGATGTAAAAAATTGGCTTCATTGAATCCGTATCATTTATCCAAGAAGACTTTGTATTGAAAAAAATTACATTATGCCTAAAACTGGTAGAGCTTCAGTTATGAAAAAGAAACCTTAAAAGAACTCAAATTGTATACTAGAGGGTCTGGATGGGGTTTACAGAATAGAGAATAATGGGCAAAATAAATAATGTATAGAGAAAAATGAGCAAAAAAATTAAAGAATAGAAAATGATTGGGTGCAAAAGTATAAAGAATTAAACTGTGAAAATGAAAGAATTAGGCAATAATTTTCTCCTGAAATTTTTTCTTTACATTATTTTTTCTGTTTTAACTTTTTTAACTTTTTTACTGACCAATATAATCTTTTACAGGAATTAGCTACAGTTGAGCATTTTGAGAAGAACCCATCTCTATCTTGGCAGTTTTATCATCATAGAAGAGAAGGCATGGTCACTAAACTTCCTAATAAGGTTTGTAACAATACATGTTTTCTGCTCTTTGGTCGGGTTGTTGTCTCTTTGACACATTGCCCATTTCCATTCTAAATTTTATGTAGTTTTTTCCATCTCTAAATTAGTTTTTTGTAATCTGGTTTTCAGTCAATTATTATTAACTAATGTCTTAGATTATCAAGATATAAAAATCTGGTATATAATGATTTTTATTCTTATATGATGTCTAAAATTTAGGTTGGTGGTATGATCAAGGTAAGAACACTTTATAAACCATTCCAAAAATCATACCAAATCTTCTTATTTTTACATTATGGACAGAAAATGATCACCAATATGTCACAACAGTATTTGTACTGTCTTTTCAACTATTTTTTCTTTTATTTGCAGGTCCCAAAACTAGTTGAAAATAGATCAAAATTTGTGTGTCTTCCATGAAAATGCATAGATCTGTCTATCTGTCTGTCGGTCGCAGAACTTTTGTAGCATTGAACATTGAAGGTTGATCAAACTTGGTATACAGATGCATCACAGGCTGGTGTGTGTCATATACCAAATTCAGGTCACTTTGACCTTCAATTTGACATTTAACCCCTATTAAAGTGTCCAGCTCATAATTTTTGTACCTTAAAACTTAGGTTTACCAAACTTAGTATATGTCATATACCTAGTCTGATTTGTGTCTTGCACATAACTTTTGTACCATAGAACTTTGGTCAACCAAACTTGGTATGTTGATTCATCATGGGCTATAAGTGTCATATATTAAAAGTAAGGTCATTTGGACCTTTTTGACTTTGACTTCTGATTCCTATGCTGAAAAAAACATTGTCAGGTTGTGTTCGATGCATTACTTGTGTACCTTAGCACTTAGATTAACAAAAACTTTGTATGCAGAAGCATTATGAGATTGGGATGTGTCTTAACCAAAATCATGTTGCTCTGACCTTGACCTTGACCCCAAGCAAAAATCTCAAAATATCATTGTCTCAATACTGAATTTCACAGCAGCAACTAAAATGCATGTACAGGGGGTATTAGTCCTGTTATGCCGACAGCTCTAGTTAAGTTTGTACTACCTCAACATAATTAAAAGTAAGAAATAAATGAAAACCTCAAATAAAAGGCTCCTTTAGAAGAACGAAATACAAAAAAAATGTAAATGACTGAAACAGAGGAAAAAGAGTGGGAGGCATAAGGTTTATAAACAATACAATTTTTATAACCTTAATCAAAAGCAATATTTTTTCAATGACCTATATAGCTACAGGAACAAACAATTTTCTTTTAAATTTTTAATAGAAACTAGTCTGAATTTGTTATCAAGAGGTCTTGAAAGGCTATATCTAAAATTTGCTTTGACTTCATCTATAAAAATTGAAACAAAAAATATACCTCAGTACTACTGAGTCAATAGACATCATGTTTATCTGGATTGAAAAAGAAACAGACTAATTTTACAAGCTTCTCCTCTGAAATCAACTAATTTTTCCAAGGAATTTAGCATCAAACTATAAAAAGAAACATGCTTACTCCTCTTCTTATTCAAAAGGATATAGTTTATAAATAGATGCAACTTAATATAGAATTTGTAGCATTTTTTTACTTTCAACAGGGCATCCAAAATTTGAAACAAGGATTTATTCGCAACTATGTTAACATCATTATACTTAATGTTATTAGCACAAACATAATTATATAACAATTGATGAAGGCTCAAATATAAAGAACATTGTAGTAAAATACATAAAATATATGACTAGCAACTATGTTATTAAAAAGTATCAATAGGTTGTATTTAAGTGAAGTACATGTAATATACTGAAATAATATTTTTGTAATACATCATTTCTAACTTGAGACAACTTAAAAATATAAGGAGAACACACAAAGTAAAAACAAATACTATAAACGTTTTCTGAAATATTTGGTTTTTAGCTTACCGGGCCTAAACGGCCGGCCAGGTGAGCTATTGCCATCACTTGACATCTGTCCTTGTTGTCTGTTGTAGTTGTCGAGGTAACTCTTTCAAAGATCCTCTCCTTTGAAGCTGTAATGAACCAATTTCAGCCACATTTTGTATGGATGATCCATAGGGTATCTAGTATAAAGTTTGTGTTTTTTCCAAGTTAATAAACATGGCTGCTATGGCTAAAAATAGAACATAAGGGTAAAATGCATGAATTGTCTTATACATTTGTATTTTGAAAACCATAATAGATTGCGAAAATCTTACAGGGCAAAAATGTTAAGAATAACAATATCTCCTTAATTTCAAGTTTTTACCTATTTTAAATCTTGAAAACTATAACAGATAGGTGATAACTGTATATAGCAAAAATGATCAGCAATACAAAATCTCCCTAGATGCCAATATGTCCCAACCCATTGGATGACTCCATATAAGAGTTATTGCCCTTAATTGACGATTTTTGACTAATTAACCAGTTTTTGCTTATTATTTCATAAATCATTAAAGATAATTGCACATCAAAAATTACCAATTCAACCTAAACCATCACATGACTCCTTATAGGGCTGTGAGGTCACTGATACAAATCAGCATTAAAAAACTGAATCATGTTACTCAGTCTTTAGTTTTCTATGTTGTGTTTTTTATACTGGTGTTTGTCTTTTGGTCTTTTTCTTTTTTTACCAAGGCAATGTCAGTTTATTTTTGACTTATCAGTTTGAATGTCCTTTTGGTATCTTTCGCCTCTCTTTTATAGGAGTTTAATTGTTCTCAAGGTAGATCAGGTGTCTTCCCCCATCTTGCATTGGATTTTAGAATAGCAGAAAACAATTGGTCCAGATCTGTAATGAAATGTACAAATTTTGAGAAATGATTTTAATTCCTTGTAAGATTTCTCATCCAAATGACAAAAATTACTGTAAATTCAGAAATTATTGCGATGTTTTTATCATTGCGAAAAATGCGACAGGGTTGTAATCGCAATAACTTAAACTCGCATTTTGAAATTTTTTATTTGAATTAAACAGGATTTTTCTCAATATCGCAAAAATTAAAATCGCATTTTAGTCTAAAATGACAAAATCGCAATAATAAATGCACGCAATAATTTCTAAATTTACAGTATGTGTTTTATCATATTTTTACGACTGTTTTTACAAATATAGAATTTTTTTGTCTAATTTCTTTCAACTTTGCCATATATTGGGAGATAACTCAGATAATGTAACTTTTCTAAAAGAATGTGTTATGAATATACTTATATATTTTGTTTTGTAGCCAGAAAACAAGTCCAATGACCATAATTTTTCTTTTATAATCTGAAAGCACATTCTAAGAGCTATCTTCTCATATTTTATCTTAAAATTCTATCATTTAGTTTTCTTTCTATCACACAAAATTGGGTTTTCTATCTATAATCTCATACAAAATCTGACAATTTTGCACAACCTGTAGCTTGGAAAAGAAACAAAAAACATGACCCATACTTTTTATTATCCTTTTTCTATAAAACATGATTGAAACTAACTTTTGGCAAATTATTTTAAAATTCTATCGATTTTTTTTAATTTAGACCACCACCAACAATTGATGATTTTTGACTAATTAAGTTTTTGTCCATTATCTTGAGAACTATAATAGAAAGGAAAAAAGTGCAAACAGCAAAAAAGATCAACAATACAAGGCCTATAAATTTCTAAATGTCTGAAAACTTTGGACGATTGCTTATCAGAGTAATGAAGATTTTTTTTACTAATTTCCCAGTTTTTGCCTCTAATTCTGAAAAATATAATAAATAGATAGAAACTGTTTTAACAACAAAATGATTGGTATACAAGATCTTTAATAATGCAAATATGGCAGAAACTATTGGCTTATAAAAGACAAGTTTTTACCAGAACCTGGGAACAGTATATCTAACAGTCAATATATATGTTCCTGCCAGAACTTTTAGTTTTTGCCTATTAATATTTCAATTTTTTACAGGTGAGCGATTCAGGCTCTTAGGATCCTCTTGTTATGGTTTTTTAATGCTTCTCAGATTCATCTCATTACTGAAAAGTAATTTTTTGTATAACCGTATCAGATACAAAATGAAGAAAATTTCATCATAACCAAGACAACTATATAAGTCTCATAATTATCATATAGTATTAAATGCCAGTCAGACATTTGGGAATAGCGGTCAATCACTGAGTGCTAAGGACAGATCAATTGGAGGTACCAAGTGATAAAGGAAAGGTGCATGGATTTATTACTGAGAAGGAAAATACTATAACATAATTTTTAAAGCTTTTTAAAGTTTTACAACATCTGCTGAGTAAAGTTTTGGTTAACTCCCCTTAAAGCACATGTGTCAATTAATCAAATGTATATAATTCAAGTGTATTACAAAAAGAAATTGTAAGAAGAGGGCTAAAAACAAAACTATTTCATATTATCTGTATCCATTGAATACTATTACAAATGATGTGATTGAGAATTTTTGTTGATTTATTGAAAACAGAAAACCATTGAACTGTTTATTGAGACATAAAATATATTGGCAGTTTTACAGTGCTGCTATGATATAAACTTAAATATAAATGATTTTTCTCTACATTGTCTACCTTTAAGGTAGAGTTATCATGAACAAAATATGATTACTAATGAGCGGCCTGATGGGTTATTTTTGTTCTTCGTGATGGGCGCATTTTCGCTATCGTGATCCATTTTTCTACAGATTTATTATTTTTTTATATTTTCGTGATCCGTGATCATGGAAATTTATTTTCTGTGAATTGTGATTGACAAAAAAATCAACTCGTGAATCGTGATGAGACCCCCCCATCAGGCCCCTCACTAATAGCCTGGAAGTAGGTGATAGATAGCACAGGAAGCAGGACTTATAACACTACAACTAACAACATTACAGCTGGGCATTTTAGGTATTAATGTATTCATATATAATATATATGTCTCTGAAATAGCCAAAAAAAAAAAATAGGCGAAGATTAACCAAGGGAACATGGAAAACTGTTAAGTAGAAGGGAAACGCCTAGGGTAA